ATGGAAATTGAAAAGGTAAGCTTAATTGTGTTTACACAAAGGATATGGAAGTCTGTGGTCTGAATGCTTTTTACTATTTTCATGTAATCTCTTGGTATTATCTTTTATGCACGTATATGGAAGCAAATTTACAAAGAACCTTCTCAACTCATGCTTACAAAATAAAGCTGCTTTTTCCGCGTACCAGAGAATATAACACGTAAGAATGTCACTTAAGTCATGGCTTTTAAATAGCATAGAATAGAAACATTAATCTTTTCAGAAAACATTCAGAACATAAGTAAAGTCATAATCTTACCGACTTTTTATGAGGACTTGGACTAACTGTGATGGAAAAAGCCAAATAAGGTTACGTTTTAAACTATATTTGCATGTATAAGCATTTTCTGGAAGACATATGATCATTAGTTGTCCTTCACAAATCCCTATGTAACACAGTAGGTAAAAGACAGTATAGAAAGGATAGAACTACAGTTAAAACACTTAATTCTCTAAACTCAAAAATAAATCTACCTGCAAATATAAACTACTTCACAACAACTTTCATCGCTGCACAACTTCATGTGCTATATCTCAACAATGGAAGGGATTAGGATACAAGTAATTAGGAAAGCAACAGTATAAACATCAGACAGATAAAATGCTAAATTACATAGGCACACACAAATACATACGGACACACACAAGACAGCAATTAACAGTTTTAAATAGCTCTGTATAAGGCAACTGCGAAGCTGAACAAACCTCAGCCAGTAACTGTTAACACTGAAATTTGCTTGAAACTTTAGGGAGGCAATTAACCTCCTGGCCCCCAGTTCTCAAGCCCAAGGAGCAGCCCATAGAACTTCTTTTACAATTTATGAACAAGCCAAGGAATTTATATCACAGTCAGAGGATTCTTTTGCTGAATTAACCCCAGCTCCCTCTGACCTTAAGAAGTCATAAACCAACAGGATACAGCAGAGGGAGAATGTGCTCTAGTGTTTCAGCTGACCTACAGAGTGCTGTCTCTGTCATGCCAGGGCTGGAAACCCAGATGATGAATTACAGAGCAATATGCTAGGTTCAGATACAAACATCAACCCCTTCCCTCCATACACACACATGCAGACATGGTCAGTCACCCCAAACCAGCTCAGTTTCTGCAAAAGGCCAAGTATTGTTAGGGCTCATTTACAGAGTCTTACTCTCAGATAAAAGAGAGAAGAAAATTGCTTATTGAGGAAGCATGCATACATCTGTGAGTAACAATATTTAAGAACACATGCTGCGTACTAAATAAAAGCACAAAACTCATTGAGCTGCTCTTTTTGTATACAGATTATTAAGCATAGCAAAAATACAATTCCAAAGCAGGACCAGGAGGGTACCCAAGAGCCTCGGCTTTTATAAAGAACAGTTTTATAAATAAAAAAAGAATAAAAATGATACACAGCTCTCTTTAAAAGAACTCTGCCTGGCTTTATTTTGTAAATGCAGAACAAAGCCTCTTATACAAAGTAGCTAATAAAACAAAGTCTAGCTGACCACATGCACAGAAAATGGGATAACACAAACGTCTGCACCAGGACCTCAAACCTAATCAGCTGTAATCACTAAGACATGAAGGTCTTTGCAGTATTTACATTTACGGTGTATTGCTTAGCTGCACCAAAAGCTTAGCCTCAGCTGAAGGCTTATTCACAAAGATTAAGCATCTCTTGAAAACGAACAGTGGCTCGTTGTCTCACTTCTAGCTTGGAATGAAAAGTGATATTTTGGGAAAAAAAAATAAATAAAAGGAGGACAGTTTTGAACTGACTAATTGAAAACCACAGAATTTAACAGATATCAAGAGTATGATGTGTTCAACACTGCAACATTTAGAAACCAAACATCCATCACTGAATAAGATATGTTTGTGGCTCCACTGTTTGATGAACTGAAAATTTCTCACTGCTCAGAAAATCCCTGAAAAATTGTCAAGGATTTTCACGACACAGTGAACTTTATTACTAAACGCCATCAAATGTGTACTCAACTTTTTTTGTACTGTTTGCAGATTACATGGATTCCCTTCATCAACTACCCTTACTCTCTCTGGAAATTACGCAAGCAATTTCTCAGAAAACTATGCCTCCTCAGGCCCACTGAACATTGGACAATTTCGTCTTGTGATTAGTCCGCATGTATTATGATCCTGAACAACTTGGCTGAAGTCTTCAGGTACAGCACACTAGTCAAAACCACCTCTCCAGAAGTACAATGTGAATCTAATTATGGTGTTTTCTCACTAAACCTCACATAAGGCGTTTTGCCATATAACTTACAGATTATTTTTTTAAATCACAAGTCACAATTTAGCAGCAACTACCCCCTCCCCTCCCCGTATCATAAGGATAATCAAGAAATGGTCAGGCATCACAATAGAATGACATCTAAAACAACTGTGAAAATGTATTTCAGTTGATTCTCACCATGAAGCTCAAAATCCTCCACCAAAAAGGTAACTAATAACATCACAACAGAAGCTAGACTGGAAGAGGAAAGGACCACATTCATTTATCACAGGTGACCATTTCTTGAGCTTTGCAACATGTTTTTCCTGAATCAGTAAATCTCTTTAAAATGAGTGCTTCTATAGGTAAAGAAAGAGGCCTACAAAGTTTCTCCCCTTCTACAGTGTTATTCTTTCATAAATTGTTTTCACAGTGCATAGTCTCATAATTGCAACCTGTATCATCTCCTGGCAAGGTAGTTTCTCCCATCTTATTTAATTTACAAACGTACTGGAAATCCTCAGTGCCTTTCTACTTCAAGTAAGTTCAAAATGTCACAGTTTACTGTTTCTCATATAATAGCGGCTACAAATTTTGCAAGGCTCTATAGTCAAGGTTAGAGGTCTCTGGTGTGTGGTTTCATGAAACTCACCTTAGTCTAACTCCTAAATTTAGGAAAGCCTGCTTGAGAGAGCTGAAACAGCAAATGTAACTGGTAGCAGCACATGTGTGAAAAGTATTTTCACTCAAACAGCTATATTTTATTAAGAACTACCTGCACTATCAACTTGAAAAGCTAGGGCCTTTCTTCTCTGTGCAAACTGATGTATAACATTAATAGCACACAGAAAACATGTCTAAAGTTAAAGGGTCTGTCAAATCAGAAAAACCAAAAGCATCACACTAGTAAAGGCAATAAAGTAGACTCACCTGCAAAACACTCTGGAAATCCAGAGATTTTAATGAAGAATTAGAGTAACATTTTGATACTCCTTTAAGCATTGTAAAAAAAAAAAAAACAGAAAACAAACAAAACCCACACAAACAAAATCAAACAAAAACACAAACAAAAAACACCAACTATAGAAGCCCTAATTTTCCTGAAAGTCTAGTACACCGAAATACTAGAAAATTACAGGGTCCTGTAGCTCCTCGGTGGATGGCAAGGTGAAGGTAAAGAAACATCCATAATTAAAACAGCAAAATAACTTCATGAAAAAAGTTGACACAGATTAGAAATTGAGGCAGTCATATTCCTAGAAGCCTGGACTGATGTGCCGATTGACTAACTAATAATACTATTGAATTGCTTCCTTTTATTCCTATCTGACTCATTAAAGTACAGCCCAGGTGGGTCAGTGGTTGGTCCTTCTAAAAGGCACAGTCCCCAAGGGTTGACAATAAATCCTTACACCCCATGCTCTATAAGCATTGGGGTTTTTTTAACTTTCTTTTCTCTGCATCTTTGGGAAGTCAAAAAAAAGAAGAGAAACCCACTGCTTATAGGACAGAAGGCTGAAGGGAAAGACAGAACACGTGAGACTGCAGGCAGGACTTTGAAAGGAGTTGATAACATGGAGTCGTGGAAGAAAGAAGAGGAATAAAGAGGAAGAATGGACAGAACCACTGCATTGCGATTCTGGGTCTTGCCAGCTTGGACTTTCAGCGTCTTTTGTGTCTATGATTATACAGCATATGCAAACCACCTGAGCAGAATGCACGTGCACATGTATGTATATGTTTTTCTACAGCTGCTATGAGGGAGAAATGTCCCAAACTTGGAATTTAATAAAGAAAAAGAGCTAAAGATAAAAGTTAATTTTAGCCTTTTATCCTGACTACAGGACCAGGATAAAAATTCGTTAGTCAAATCCAAAAATCGCAATATACCAAAAACTAGAAAACCTGTAATCTTAACGGGTGGTCTTGATAGACCAAAGTGATTAAGACTTTTCCAAACATAGCAGAAAGCCAAACAATTAAAAACACCAATTCTGTCATCTCCCCACAAACTAAATTTGCTTACGCAAAGTGAATGGAATGTCATAGGAAGGCTATTTGTTAACTGGCGCTTTGACTGCCAAAGGCAAATCTATACTATTATATATTGGAAATAAATTATCACAAAGAAACTCCTTTGAGTTGTCTGGTACTTACTTGTATGAAAGCATAAGCTCACAAAATGAACCCTATCAACACAACAATACGACTAATTTATTTTCAGTGTGTTTACAGAAGCACTATATAACATGATAGGGAAATGGCAATACAATCTGAGTAGCAGTATAAAATAAGTTACATAACTCAGACCCAGGAACATTAGGAGATCAGCAGAACAAGTCAGATGTTGCAAGAGAAAATAAATTTTGAGTTAAAGCACACTCAAGGTAGAAAATTCTTATTTGGGTAACATGCAGGTCATGATAAGGTCAGAATCACATTAATAAGAATCAGAGTTTCAAAACACCTTATCAGCCAGAGCTGAATGAACTCGTATATACATATAACTATCCATATCCATATATATATTATACACACACACATATTCATATATAATTACAGCTGAGAATAGAAACTGGTTTTACACATTAAGCGGGTAAAATGTCTGAAAAAGGTGCCATTTAGGTGTACCTGTAAATGTGCATTTTGGTTTGTAGATCGGCAACCTGTGGACATACTTAGCGATACCTTGTTATACACTTAGAAAGTCGTCTCTGTTCATGACAATAAGCAACACTGTACCTGTGTGGCTTCGAATATGAACTCTCAGTGTTCCATTGCTTGCAAACTTCTGTCCACAATACGGGCAAATCTTCTCTTTTTCTCCAGTGTGAGTCTACATGAGGTGGGAAAAGATAAGAATGAAGGCTTCAGCATAGCTTTAAAAGAAGTGAAATATGGAATATTTTAACTATATTGACATTGACCACTATTGTCTCCATTATATATTGTATACCACCACATCAGGAAGAGATTCTAAGGAATTAGCTATATGTGTTCTTTCAATTTTCTTCAATAATTATAAACAAATTTCATTACTAATGGCAAAATAAACTGGCTTTTCAGTTCCTAAGTTTACTGTTTCCTAAATAGTTTCTATTGAAAATGTTAATTCATCTTCATGTATTTTCATGATTGCAAGAATAAGATACTTATCTTTTCAGATCGATATCTATGACATAGTGGTTTTTAAACCAGCAAACAATAATTTGGTTACTTAGTAAAATTAGGCTTCATAAATGGGTCTATTTTTAAAAGTTTTAATTTCACAGCATTTTATTACTTTATGAAACGTAGTGAAAACAGTTTACCTAACCTAGCATAACTTTTCCTGTTGCAAACTTGAACTGGAGCTTTAAAAGGTCTCTATGGAGATTTGTGCACATGATTTCTGACTGGCTCACATGAATGGAACACAGCCCTCACTTCATCTGAAGTCTATGACAGGCAAGTGCAAGTTCCCAGTGACTTCAGTCAACCTAAATTGCATACTGGATCCTGTCTAGTCTGTAATAAATGCTAGGATCAGATTACATGTAGAGAACTGATAATGAGAAGTACATTGTAATTGTCACTAACACTAAATCATACACTGAGCTTATCTTCTGAAATCAAGCTTTTAAGGCTAGAGCACCTTGTTTATGTAAGTATTATTTCAAAATGGCAAAAAAAAAAAAAAAAATCAGAAACTCTACTCTCTACCATCCAACCTGTGTGGTCAACAGCAAGATCACCTTGAAGTAAGCTACACACATGGGTTCTCATCTTTTTTCACACTGTACTTTCAATGCCCAGTTCTGAACTGAAGGTTTATAGGTTTATCAGTCTAGTGAATAACATTTCCTTGTAACTATGAATGTTCTTTTAGTAGAGAATTTTGGATTACTTCATTTATAGGTGTTAATTTAAATGGGATAACACATTAAATTATATGTTCAGCTGACAATTTGAGTTTCAAGCTTTACACATGACTCTCTTCAGATAGGGAAATTAATTCTTACTTTTATGAAAGACATTGAAGTATATAAAATTCTTCATTACATCATAAAAACTTTATCTCACATTGTACATATTGTGCTGCAGCTGAAGCAAGAGCAAATGAGACATGAACGAGATATCATTTCAATACTGGACGAACTTGCAGAGTTTTCATTCCCTGACATTAGAGATATGAACGTTAAATCCCTCTTGATTACAACAGAGTTCTTTAGAAATCACTTACATCTCTAAGAGCAACATTGGGGAATACCAGACAAAGAGCTATTAATTCATTCCGAACAATCAAAAAAAAAGGATTTCCAAGAGCAACATATTACAATTACAAGGCTCACATGTAGCTAGTCCTAGTCTGAGAGCAGCATAAAGCAACAGATATTACAGTTAAGAAGGAATGTCAAAGAAATTATAAGGATAAATGATAAACAGTAGCGGCTCTCCATTAAAATACAAATACATATATGTATTGTATTTTAATGTGAAATAGCAAGTCATACTGATTTTTTTAGAAAGGAATCTGAGGAATAGAAGTTTAAAATTTTCTGCAGAACTCATCAACAATTCCAGGTAATATTTTTCATTTTTGATCTTATGATCCATCTTGGCAAGATCCTTTATAAAAGGTTAATCTCAAATCAATGTATCAGTTCTAAAGGCTAGGTCTGTTAATCAAGTGATAAAAACAAGTAGATAAGGATAAAGGGGATTGCGTGTCTGAAAAGTGGCCTGTTTTTTCCAAACCAATCAGTTTGTCTAATGAAAGATCTTAAGCCTTCCTAAAGTCTCGCTCCCCAAGAACATAATCAGAAACAAGTTACAAGTTTATTTTTTATATCCTTCATCTTTGAGTTCCTCAGACCAATATGTTTGGGCTTGAAAAACAAATATGTTTTAATACTCCTTATTTTAAAAGTAATTTAAGAGGAGAGACGAAGAGCATCCTATAATATAAAGTTCTTTATCTCTTACAGCAAAACTCAATTGACTTCACAGGTTGAACAACAATTAATGAACCAGGTTATTTGAATCTCAATCATCTTCTAGTACATCTACTGAAATCTACAAACAAGGCAACCCCATGGCATTCTAGCTCTTCTAAAGTACAGATGAAAATCTTCCACTAAGTGTATCTGGGAGAGAAGCATCTTGGTTATACAGTTATGCCACTCAATCACAAGAAACTTTATCTTCCAACAACTATAATTACTAAGTAACTTAAGGCATATTAAATATGAGACAAGCAGCATTTAAAACAGACTGAAGACAGAGAGCAAACGCATTAAAATACATTTAATGGAAGATCAAGACCTTTGAAAGACCACAAAAGAAACCAAAGAGATTTTGTTCCTAGTTGGTTCTGTTACATTTTGCAATCTGCAAACATGTTAAAAATCAAACACACATTAAGGAGGCCGTGCTGGCCATTATTTCAGAGAATTCTCTAGTCTACTATCTGCCAATAACTTGATTTAGGCTCCAAAGACATATGTTAGTTCCCACACCTCTACGATACAGTAGGGTTGGAGAGATGTTGAAAGACGCCCTTACATTTTTTTCCTCAATTTAGATATAGAATCGTGTAGTAATGTGTAGTACTCACCAGAATCATGTGCTAAAAATATCGTACTAAGTAACTCAGGTACACTCAATTTTACATGCATATATGAAGTGCATGCTATATGGCAAATAATATATGCATGACATTTTTCAACAAACTCTAACAATCTGTATTTGGTGGCAACACCTGAGCTGATTTTCTTCAGCTGATTTGTTCTTAATCCAATTATTTCCTTCACATTTCTTCCCTGTCATGTAAATCTTACCTCAGACCAAACTAGTGAGCAAGCTTTCTTCTAAAGTTTACCTCAAATCCATTGCAGAGATCGGTGGAAAGGAATATGGTAAAAGCAGTGCAGCGAGTTCCATCCTGCTACACACCAGATGCTGGAGTACCTACACTGGATTTACACATACGCACTCGCTGCAGATCCTGCGTACCACCAATAACCCCACTACTGCAATAAGCATTTTAGAACAATAAGCACTGTCACAGCTTTCTACTGAAAGCCAGAAACGCAGAAGCATACGGAGATTTTAAGTTTACATTAAGGGCACCAAAGGAATGAATATGATAGAACTGATTCTACTCACTTTTTTATGACTTTTCAGGACTGAGGGTGTCACAAAAGCTTTGTCACAGAGATCGCACTTGTATTTCTTATGGCCATCGTGTACAACTTGAATATGAACATTTAATGTGTCCTTTCTTTTGAAAGTAGCATCACAGTGATCACACTTGAAGGTCCTCTCACCTTATTAAGAGAAAAACAATGTTTCAAGATACCAGATTTTTCTGGAAATACACTAATGCTTATTGTTTCAGAAAAACGAATGAAAGTCACAATGACAAACAAAAAGTTGGGTCCTGAAAACAGAAAGAAAAGAAATATCACATCAGATAAAAATGTCATTGGGAAATTAAGAAAGTAGTCACCACAACAACATAGCCAGAAATGTGAGAGTAAACTCTATAGGCAAAGGTTGCCAAACCAATGGAAATGGCTTTCGATGAAATGGAGCACAGGTTTTATCAGCACCTCCAGTAACAGACTCTCTTTATGGTAACAAGCAAAAAGATGAAATAAACTTCATCTTTTGAAATTTATATGGTAAGAGACATCTTTCTGAATTTAAAAGAATTCTCAAAACAAAAAATACTTGCTTTGAGTAACCTATCTCATTCACAACAATAGAGGCAAACTCATATGAGAAAGATGAAGTAACTCTTAACTGTTACAGCAATATTACTATTCAATCTGTGGAGGAGTGGTTGAAGGTTATGGCAGATAATATTACTATTCAATCCTCCACTCCTCTGTGGAGGAGTGGTTGAAGGTTATGGCAGAGGCCAGGTTAATATTGTTATTAGTTTTTAAATTCAATAAATTACTTAAGAGAGGGGAAGAGACATTGTATTCTGAAAATCTGCATACATCTTTTGAGAGGAAAAAAAAAAAGATGTGATTCTTCAGAGAAATCATTACAATGAACTTTGACGCTACTGTGAATGCAGAAGAGAATATTCTCTTCTATTTGTTAATTTCTTGCTTAAAATTACCACTTAAACATGAGTGGTAATCTGCAACATGACATTCATTCAGAAATCCACAGTCTAAACTGGAAATCAGGTGCCCATATCCCAGAAAACTTTCCAAGCAGTTATATCACAAAGGAAGATGGCTATAATCTAAGGACTATTCTCCAGTTCGGAGACAGTGGTCTGATCTGCAGATCCCTGATCTATATGAATAAGACACAGACTTGTATAAGCACAAGCTACTTCCAGCAGCAATGATGCACATGTAGAGGTACACTTGTTTCCTTGCTATAGCTCATTGAAGAATAAAATCATCCCAGCCTTGGTCGCAGTGCAAAAGTCAATATGAATAGGAATGGATTTCAGTATGCTGCATATTAAATCCCATTTGATGCTACATACTGAGGCACAAATTTTATCTTTATTATATATTATAACACCTATAAATGAAGTTTATTAATACAGTGGTGCCTCAAGTACTCCCAGACATTTCAAAACCTAAATAACCTGTGATATCCATGATGCTTTTTCCAATTTCAAGATAGGAACACCTAAGAAATGAGTTTATGAAATAAAAATTTCTGCAGTAAATTAAGTTTGTAAAATAAAATTTAAGTCATTCTACATCATTCTGCAGAGTGCCTGCTTCTAATAAAAGAATATACAATGCAACCACACCAAACAGTAAATTCAGCTAAATGTATCTAGAGATTCTGTTTTCTCTCCTTTCATTATAGCAACAGGTATATTTTAGTGCTAAGAGAGGGACTATCTATCAACCAGCTGCAGCAGGACATCGCCTGTAATTCTGAGTTATTTCAAATATGAGAAACTCATTATCATGGCAGCACAACTTGTCAGTCTCAGAGGTAGGTCAGGAGGGGAAGAGTTCTACATTTCTTCACTAGGAACACAAGCTCTTCTCAGACAACAGCAGAGCCTCTTGTTTTAATCACAGCCTTTAAGTGAAACCTGTTCCTTCTTCAGTTCATCCTAGTAATGACTTTCACTTTTCACTTTGCTATTGGTCTGACAACACTCCTTTTATAGGACTACAGACAAGAGAGATACAGTACAATTATAAAAGCGTTGCTTATATTCTGCTGTATTAAGGCCTCCTTGTTAAGTTGGTCAGCTGTTGGGGTTTCTTTCTCCAAAGAAAGAAAAAAAAAGTCTTAAAAATCTTCCCTGTGATTAATAAAAATACTCAGTATTACTGGTTTAAGGCTTTGACTCATTTTGGAGACAATTTTAGTCAAGATGGCAGAAGTCACCACCTTCAAACACCTATTCTGTCCCTCAGGAACACGTTTCCTTTTGCACCAAGGAAAACTGACTAGACAAAGTCTGTGCCACTGCAGTTCACAGTCTGATATATTTAATATTTGCTTAAATAGTGGTAGGAACAGCTAAACCTGCCACAAATCACAAGCCCAGCTTAAAAGATCGCAAATTTCCTGAGCTCCCATCCTTTTGAAAAAAAAGGTCGAAGTATATGTTTTTAGAGAGACCTTTACCAAGGCCTGCAATTCTGTGTACTGTGAATTACTGCTTTTGGATATCCTGCAAATGCTTGATTCATTAGAATACACAGGTTTTTAACTTTCCCCTCCATCATTTTTAACATTTAACATCAGAAAAAGATTTTACAAAATCTAATGCTTTGTGAAACCGCAGAAGCTTTGAAAGATAATTGTAAAAGAACAAACTAGAAATGGTGGGCCCGTACCAACCTCATGAAGTTTAACCAGGCCAAGTGCAAGGTCCTACATCTGGGTCGTGGCAATCCCAGGCACAAATACAGACTGGGCGGAGAATGGATCGAGAGCAGCCCTGAGGAGAAGGACTTGGGAGTACTGGTGGACGAGAAGCTCAATATGAGCCGGCAATGTGCTCTTGCGGCCCAGAAGGCCAACCGCGTCCTAGGCTGCATCAAGAGGAGCGTGGGCAGCAGGTCGAGGGAGGTGATTCTCCCCCTCTACTCTGCCCTCGTGAGACCTCACTTGGAGTACTGCGTCCAGTTTTGGAGTCCCCAACATAAGAAGGACATGGACCCGTTGGAGAGGGTCCAGAGGAGGGCCACGAAGATGATAAGAGGGCTGGAGCACCTTTCCTATGAGGACAGGCTGAAAGAGTTGGGGCTGGTCAGCCTGGAGAAGAGGAGGCTCCGGGGTGACCTTATAGCGGTCTTCCAGTACCTCAAGGGGGCCTACAAGAAAGATGGGGAGAGGCTGTTCAGGAGGGCCAGTTGTGATAGGACAAGGGGTAATGGTTTTAAAATAGAGGGAGGTAGATTCAGATTGGATATTAGGAAACTATTTTTTACCATAAGAGTTGTAGAACACTGGAACAGGTTGCCCAGAGAGGTGGTGGATGCTCCATCCCTGGAGACGTTCAAGGCCAGGTTGGACAAGGCCCTGAGCAACCTGATCTAGTTGGAGATATCCCTGTTTGTTGCAGGGGGGTTGGACTAGATGACCTTTGAAGGTCCCTTCCAGCCCTAACGATTCTATGATTCTATGAAATGCCAGTCTTAATTCATCTAACAGAAACACTGTTATACAGGATTAAAAAAGGAAAGGTTTGTGGGTTTTTTTTTTAATTATACTAATGTAAATACTCCCCAAATTAAAGCACTGTCTTCTAAACTACAGGGATTTTAGACCATGAATATTTTCTAAAATCTAAATTGCTGCCATTCATGTGGTTGAATGGTAGTCTAGGGCTCTAAATATTGAAGACGGAGAAAATTCAACCAAAAATAAATCTTTACACAGTCAGTTAAAAAACAGTACAGAGTGCCAAGAACAAGTTACTCACAAGGGAAAATGGCCACAGCACTCCTCTGGGCTGCTACCTCTGTGTCAGAGGCAGGAAACATTAGCCTGTACTGGCACAGGAGAGAGAATCTCAGTTTCAAGCTCTAACTGGATTACCTACAAAAGCTGAGCAAGCCACCAAGTCATCTCTGCTTCCATTTCTCCTTTCTTAAAATGGAGGTAACACTAGCACAGTTAATGCAGAAGGAAATCTCTTGTCATTAGACCTCAAATCCTTGCTGGATTTTCTACAGCATATTTGGATTTGCATTTAAGTGTATTTAAAAATAAGGTTTGAATTTGGCTCTGAATTTTCTAACTCCCTGGGGTTAGAGTTGAATCTTAATACTAATTAACATAGCAAGTTGCATACTGGAGCTAGGTGCCATATGTCTGTTTTTCTCAGTCAAATGTGAGAACTGAGGAAGTTCTTCCTCCTCTCTGACTTAGCACTTACTGTTATGGATTAACAGATGTCTTTGTAGAGAGAATGGGGTTCGGAACAAAGCTTTGCATTCCTCACACTGGAATGGTCTCTCTTCAGAATGGGTCTGCAGATGAAAGACAACATGTCAGAGGAAAGGCTCAGGGAAATCAACTAGCTGTCATTACAGTAATTATAGCTAATTTTCTAGGCTGGATTCAAGAGAGGATATGAGAGCAATTTGAAACATCAGGGGATGAAGAATTAAAACAATCATTCTGCCATTATCCAGAATTCTGAAAGTCAGCACAGCAGCTACCTAATAAATGTACCTCCCCAGTCCTCAAAAGCGTTGCATAAGGTGTGCATGTAAACAGAAACAAAAATCTAGAATAGCCAGCAAAAGAAACTACAAGCTCAGTTGCATTGCTTCATCAGTAGTAACATAGGCCTTAAGCACTGAAGACCATGAATAAATGCTTTAAAATTAAACACATGGAAATATAACTCTTTCTCAGTTAAGTCTGAAGATAAAACTGATCTAATTATCTCTAGATAGTATCTAAAATTTGGCAAAGAAAATTTCTCAAATCATGAGACTAGTCTTACATATCCTTGTTTCAGGTTCTTGAATTAAAAGAAAAAAAAAAATTAAAAAAGAAAAAAAAGATAGAAGCATCAATACCGAGATTTTTGTTTGCTCTAGAAAAATTCATCGTAGCTGAGAAACAGTCTCAAAAACATAAATACAATAAAAGGCTAAGCTTGGATGAGTCTCTCAACTGCAGAGTTGCTGAAGCAGGTTTATTTTCTGGAGCTTAGGAAACATCCAGTTTCATTCTACTTCTGCAAATTTCAAAGCACTTTCCCTGTTTCCTAGTGTTATTAAGTGCTGTCCCACTGTAGGTAGTAAATTAATCCATACAATTTATTACCTACCCAATCTCCTACTATTTTTGCAAAGTAAAGTAAGTTTTTTAAGTATCAGTGTCCAAACATTGTATTAGCTCACAAGGACTTTAAGTAGAAGCTGCAGTGCCAAGAGGAAAAGAAGATGGACAGTAAGTGTTTTATAATATGCACGATATTAGATAAATGAGGTAATTTTGTAGACTAAGGGTAAATATTTGCATAGTACATATTTATATGATCTATTTCTGCTATTCACAATACCGTACAACATTTATAGCTACCCCTTGAACTACAGAGAAAAAAGGGACTGTGTGGAGTCAGTATAACTACTTAGATATAGACTGAAGGCCTTGAACCTAGACTGATTTAACAGAAATGTCCTCTTACACACACAGCAGTACCAAAACATTAGAGTACTTGCAACGGGATACAGTGGCTTTGGATTCAAAGTGAATTCCTTGACCTCAGCCTATGTTACTTAGAGCAAAAAGGCAACTGGAGAATCATCAAATGTGTGGAATATATCACACATTACATAAAATCTGTTGAATGTTTCAGTCCAGCTTCTACATGTTTACATCACAGTTTGCATTATTTGACACCCTGCTTGGCAGCCTCAGCAGTCAGGCCAAGGATTGACAGGACATGGAGAGACTGAACTACCTTCTCACCTCAACAGGTGGTTCCTCCAGAACAGGGTTGAGACATATTGACGAGACACTGTGGGGAAGCTCGCAGTGCTGCTGTCTGTGCTGTACCTGTTCTGTGGATAAATAGAAGGGTTCAGTCTCTAGGGCTGTCAATCTGGCACCTTTCACGAGCGCAAAATTCATGTTGCTTATTCAAAAAATGCCCTGTTTTAGAACACTCACCACTTGAGTGATAGTTCTGAAGAGCACAGTGATTTGTACAGAATTCCTCCTTGACAGTTCTCCTAGACTTTTGATCAAAACACAAGTATTCATCTGCGCATCTTAACTTCCCTACAAAGAAAACCACCAAACTAGGCGTACCCACGTGCAAGGGTACACAGATCATCTGCCTCTTTCGTGAATGATGCAGAAACAAGCTAGGTCTGTTACAAAAAGCCATGCAAATCTTAATGAGGAGAGGTATTCCCCCAAACAAGCACATTAGTTCTAATACTGTCCTTTTTCTGTCCTACAAACAGAGTCCAGATCAGAGATGGTTTCCATGCAGTCAGAGTAGAGGACAACCATACGATCAAAGTAACTGAGGATGGGCTCTTATGGAATATTTCATGGCAGGCTTTCCTACCATAGCATTTGTGGAGGCTTAAACCCAGCCCAAGGCTACTTATTCCCAATAGAGAAACTGAGGGAATACAGTTGCTTCAATTCATTATGCTCCCCTGGACCAAATAACCCTGGATTAACCATAAACCCTTTAAAATCCTGCGTCTGCTGACCTAGTTCTGCTCACTGTCATATGCTCATATTTTATTCTCTGAACTCATCCTCTATATATAGCAACAAAGGAGCAGATGGGGCTAAAACTTTGCTTTCTCCTGCACAGAAGTAATCTGCACTATATGGCACAGAACGTGCACCTCCATCCAATCTAACCTGGACGAAAGGTGACTACTATCTGCTGCACAATCCAATACTACATTTGCCTCTTAATTTCAGATACTATTCTCCTCCCTTGTCACAACACAAAAATGGAACCATATTCTCCATACGATCACTTGGTCATATAAACTGGTCTTTCTCAAAAGATGTCTGAGCTAGTTCCACATCACATAACACTTGCCAGTGCTGACATGTCCAAGCAAGTCACAAAGCAAGCTTTGCACACGCAGCTACACAGAGCCGTGTAGCACTTGTATGCAGAAGCAGCATGCCAGAGAGGTGCCACAGGAAGACTAACAGTTCCTGCCACTCAGATCTGTAGCTATAATGGCATAATGAGTGCCAAGTTAGGGTTCACATCACAAAGTTCCACTGCATAGAGCAGATATACTCTTAGCAACTCCACTATCTCCCAGTGAAATCCTGTGAACAGTGAGGAACTAATATCCTTCTGCACCTTTGAAATGACCCAACATTCACCCATATGTGAAAGATGTTTAAAAGCACGTGTTGTAGTAGCCATTTTTGTTCTGATACTTCAACACAAAATCAAATTAAATAATCCTCATAAAGGAATCACAGAAACAACAGCAACAACAAGTTTCCACCTAAAACACAAAACGTGAATTCAAAGGCACAAAATGTATATGTATCCTGTTTGTTGTTATAAATAAAAAAGTATGTAGCTCTGCTGTAAAACGTGAAGAGCTTTTTCAAGTGTGTTGCTATCAAACTTGAAAGCATGTTTTCTGTTAAATGCTGTTGATTTAAGTGCTTTAACTACTATATCCATCATTCCTAATGCAGGTTCCGAAGCTCTCTGCTACTAGCACAGTAACTGCATCCTGGAAGTCAAAAAAGCACTGTGTCCAACTGTTCTTCCTCCAAAAAATATTAAATATAGGATGACATCTTAAAGGAATACACACCTAAAGAATCATTAAAAACTCAAGCTGAACAAATACACAGAAGAACGGTACACAATAAAGGTTTACATTTCCACTGTTACTGAATTGACATTTCTGTGAACAAGCAAATGAACTATCATCCTCTTCCCCTAGCAGTAGTGCAGTCCTCCCAAAGTCATGGCACTTCAAACTATTTTGGCCTCCCAAACGACCACATCCTTGACCTGCATCTCACAATTGGTTTTGTGTATACACATCCATACTCGCCTCCATTATCTACTACCTCTTCTTGTTTACACTGTTTACTCAATGGAGATAGATGTGTCTAAAGAAGCAATTCAGGACATCTAAATCAGTCTGCTGTCCCTCATGCTCATCTCTTCATTTAGCAAGTGAAATTAGAGACCTAAATGTGGATGGGTGAATATTCACAGCTGTTCGGGTAAAATTTATGTAAACACAGCAATAAGTTTCTTTCATTATAGGAAGGGTTGATTTATAGCCAGTACTATGTGCAAACAGGTTCAGGAAATAAGTATTCCAACATGCTTTAAGGAATTCTGTCAAAATTAGGTACTCACTAAATCTGTCTAAATTTTAATATTTTTCCCATTAAGGGGAGCCTCTAATCCTTGCTTATGCTAGTGGTGCTGCTGCTTTAAACACAGAATTGGGTCAAAGTGTTTACTGATTCATATTTAATCCTGAAGTCCATTTTCAGCCCAAACTCCCTACCAGTCATCAACTACAAACTAACATAAAGAAACATGTAAGAAGTATTCATTTAAGACATAGAAGTATCTTTCCAGATAGTATTTAATAAATTTTCCTTCGAAAATATCAAATTTGTGAGATTCTGCCCCATTTTTTTAATGAAGTCTAAAACAAAAGATACAGTCACAGCATATATGGGAGCTAATCTTGTCCTTCAGCAGGCTTCTGCATGCTTTCTGTTTTAGACAGTCATCACCATTTCATCCTGAGAGAGGCATTATTATTACTCTTACATGATTTATGGCTGAAAGTACAAGAGATGGTGCAAAGATCCTGTGCCAAATTCCCAGATGGCATATAACATGAGTCAAACTGCAAAAGACTTCTAAGTATGGTTATATCAGTTTCATAAAAAGGGAAAGAAAGGGGTAGTATTTAAAAAATATAAAAGGAAGGAAGGGAAAAAAAAACCAACCATCAGCAAAGGGTTCCAAACACTGGGCACAAAAGCAGACAGGTAATTTTTTTTATTCTTCTTTCTTCCTTTTTTACAGTCTTGTAATTCTGAAACAGCAGTCATGGATATAGCCTTGCCATTAAAAATGTAACCTCACGTTAAAAATTATGGCAGGCATTATAGAAATTAGGCCAAGCAGATTTGAGCTTAAATCAACAAAGGCAGAGCATCCCTTCATGAGCCTATTTTTCAGGTAATGTTTCTTCTGATGTTGTTTTAATGTGTGAATGCTACCCAGTGCAAATCCAGCATGGTTTGAAAGCACCTGCTGCTCAGTCCAACAACGACCGCAACAGGACTACACATAGTTTTATTCAGATATGGTATTTTTTAAAAAATAAAAATTTGAAGAAGTTTTAGATCAGTTACATTTTTAACTTGATAACCTAATGTAAAAAAAAAAAAAAAAGCCAAAATGGGGATTTCTTTGATGCTTTTAACCAAGCAACTGCAATTTTCATCTGTTTATTTTGCCTTTTCTTAAAAAAACCCAAAAAAACTAGAATTCATTTAGCATTTTTAGATTTTTGGATATAACAAAGAATACTAAAAAATACATTCTCCAATACTTTAATCCCATGTTTATAAGCATGCCAGAGCTTAATGATGAACCACTTAAAAGAAAAAAAATCTGCAAATCTGAGGCTGGCAGACCTGTAAACAATAACAGCAGAGTGCTTTACCTTCTTGTGATTCTTGTAAACATTTCTGTGGGCAAATCCCTTTCCACAAAGCTTGCATTTATAAGGTTTATCTTCACTGTGTATTATTTTGTGTGCAGTCACTTGATCAAGTCGTTTGAAGGACTTATTGCAAACCTCGCAGGTGTAGGGGCGTTTTTCTGCAGAAAATGAGTGGGGGACATTTAATCTCCTGTTTATACAGGGGGAGAAGATGAAAGGCAGAGACAGTCATCTCCTCAGAGAGATTTTTGCAATTAAGTCAACCCAATTAAGATTAAACCAATTAGAAAGACATCTAATGCCCTTTATGTTAGACAGTTAAGTCACTTCACAAAAGATGAGCCATGGTGTATCTCAAGAAATTGGCACATTCTTTGCAATAATCATTGCTAAAACTAAATTCTGATTAATTAGCTTAAATCAAAAGAGAATGACTTCAAAGAGGAAAACTCTGTTTCCAGATTAGAAATGTGAAAGAGGGCATGACAGTTTAAATGTTTTAAAACTTAATTAACAATATACATATTAGTTTCTAAAACCAAAAAGTTCCTATGCAAAAAGCCTTTATGCTTCAACTGGTGACTGCAACTTAACTATATTAATGCTCATCTAAAAGTGTAAAAAGAAAGCTAGAAGCCTCTGAGATACAGATTATGTTACAAGAAATGAGCTTTCGGTTTGGACTGGTATCAAGAAAATAGTTCAGTTATAAGCCTGTGCAGCTGTAAAAACCTGCATTTTTAAAATGCTAATGTACTTGACAGAATCATGTTTTGTTTCTGTTGTGTTAGTTGTTTCTAATCACTGGTGAAAGACATGGAAACACTAGATTGCAGTGACCAGAAATCCTGGCAGAGCCAATTTGTGCCATACTGCCAAGCCTACGGACAGACCACTCCCAGCTCACAGTGACCTGCTCTGGCAGAGGACAGGCACAATGAAACATTTGTGTGTGGTCTATGAAACAGTGTGGAGTATGAGCTGCTTTCCTCTGACTGGAAACTATGCGCACGAGTCCACTAATATTTATATGTATATGAACGAGTGTCTCCCTTTTTATCACAGATCTCTGTCTGACAGCATACCCTAGCTCCTGTCCTCTTCAAAATTTCAACCATTGGTTCTTCATCTCCTCCATAAATCAAGCAGCAATCTTTTGCTCCATCCCAGCTAACTGACATCATCTACCAAAGCTAGCATGAAAAAAAGAGCTTGACAAAGCAGCAACAGGAAGAAGACTATAGCACTACACTTGGATTTTTGAAAGGCTTAGAAAGGATAGCTTAGAATAACTTTCCTTGGAACCTGAGATTTGCTTGAACAGCTCAGGACAAGACAGAATTCATCAAGCTTTCTATAAGAAAATAATTCAGGTAAAACTCAATCTACATTAAACACACAGAGATACACATATATAGGTTGGTGTTATCTTTGTACATTACCTGAATGAGTTATCATATGGCGTTTTAGTTGGTTAGCTGAAATAAATTTCTTGTCACATTCCTGACACTCAAAGATCTCATGGACCTGCAAAATGAGTTTTTAATGATAATTAAATATGTGTCTCAAACAAGATCACACGTCTTACATGCACAGAAATTCTCTAGCAGATCGTAACTATTTCTTAGCCAGCAGCTATACTAATACTCATGAATATTCTGTGATTTCCCCCTTGCTAGCCCCTTGGTGAACAACACTATTGCTCAGAAAATATTCATAACTGCAAACAAAAAATTATCATTAAAACTATGTGTAGAAGCACAAGTTATGCAAATTTGCAATATCAGATTCCTTTAAAATATCGCTATTATGAAGAATTAAATATAGATTAATACCTTTTCAGAACATTTCCTTCTAGTCAATAAGTAAATATAACACAGTAACTACTTCGTAACTGCTCTAAGAATCTTAAAAAACAAGCACTACCAAATTCTTTCAGGATTGTTTCTCTTAAAAGCCTTTAGAGGCAAGACGGCAGAGCAGCAGCAGCAGCATCCCTGAAACTGTAAATGCAGTAAGCATTAGCAGGATTTTCAACATCACAGCACATAATGTCATCAAGGACTAAACGCTGGAAAAATAGAAGAGGCTTTTGAGAGCTGCAGCTTCTGATACTAAATTACAAAAAAAAAAAAAATTCCGTGTTATTTATCATTCTCCAAAATCACAACATATACATAGTTCTCCACCTGTCATGTTTATCATTCGCCTTCTGCTCTGTATTACATTTGCTGTCAGCAACCTCCCCTCTGCCCAGTCACAGTGCAACTGAACACACATTTCAGCTTTTTGGAACTGCAGCCTTAGAGAGCAAAACTTCTGGGCCAAGATCACATTTCGTAAAGCTTTTCTGGAAAGTCTAGAGACTTTCTGTAGGAGAATCTAGCAGCTAAAAATAACAAATATCAGAAATTCAACACAAAACTCTAATCCAAAATATTTGCAGACAGCACAGAACAAAAGCTCAACTAAGACTTACACTTAAACAAAAAAAAACTACAAAAAGAGATTCTCCATAAGTATTCCGCCTCACCATGTTTTTATGCTGCTACTCACAAACTAACTTTAGGGCAAATTAAATGTTTAATCAACTAAAAAGTGGGTATGCCATTTCCTACAATCTCTGCAAACTTGTACACTATGGACAGTGATGCTTAAGGAAATGCTCAGAATCAGGTGGTAAACTCAAATTAAGATCATTCATTCTAAACATTCTCAGCTGCATCTCAGATCAATTTAATTAATATACAATCTACTACTCTACCTTTTACCAAAAGATCTAAATTTTCACTTAGATTGTTGACTGAAGTTTACATAATTCTGCAACCGAGTGCTAGCAGAATCCCCCCCAACGCAATTATTTGAAATAACTTGTAAGGTATTCTTAAACATAATATTTAATACACCAGAACCCAGACTGTGCTTTAACACTATATGAATGTCTGATTTCAACTTATGAGCATTGTTCAATAAACAGTCTCACTGAATAGATTTGCATCAAATCAGACTTCTATGCATGTGCATTAAAAAGCTACAGCTATCAAATATATATTCTACAGCTTATACTCTTTCATCAGTTCTTTACAAAAGAATCAGACACAGACCTGCGTGCACATGCATTAAACAGCAGTAGCTATCAAGCACATTTCTATAGCTGGCACTCTTTAATCAGGTCTTTAGGAAAGTGCACAGTTACATGGTAAAACAACAGTAATAAAATATAGCAAATATATTTATGATTTATGATATTCAAATGGCCCTTCTTTTTAAGAAAACCTGTCAAGCAACATGCTCTATGAGTATACAGCCTGTAATACCACATTGCTCATGCAATGATCTATTCGTGTAACAAACTTAGTCTCATTAGGGGATTGTAACAGCTCACATAAAACTCTCACATTAAAGTCAGAGCATTCTCACAATTGTTTCATAGCCATTTGAAGAGCTACACCTTCAGATAACAACTTGCTAAGAGCTATACAAAAGAGCTAAGAAATCCAGAAAGGCAACAACACAAACTAGTCTTACCAGTGAAGCACAATCCAGCATTTCATACAGGCAACTGTTTTATGACCTTTTCCAAAGTCAAAAAAAACTTTACTGCCTTACACTCCCAGGTGTCCTTAATCTTCTTTCTTAACAGGAGGATTGGCTACTTTACCATTGAAAACACCTGCCTACAACAAGAGTCTTAAACTCACCCCACAGCTGTACAGCCAGAAAGAAACATACTCTCCCAGTCTACCTACAAGTACTGAAAGTGTAGCACTATCAATTCTGACTGCACCATCCTGGGAAAAGAAACCAGTAACAGATCTGTTTGAATTTTTCTTTCTTGTCCACTTACAGAACATTGGAACCTCAGTGGAGAGGCCTGGCAGCCTGTGCTATTCACATGTATACGCACATTTTTAAGTTTAAGCTCCTGTGAGCAATTCAAATCCAAAACACCAGACATCTATATTCAAAGGTACAAAAGGACCTCTTTAGCAAGAATCTTCATCAATGAAGACAACACTCCCCTGGCTTGCTTGCTCACTATTATCACCATTGAATGACTGGATTTTGTATTTTACTTAAACTTCGGAACTTAGTATCAGATTTAAGTAGAACATCAGAAAAAAAACAAACACTGGCCTAATGAACACACTCAAAAGGTTAATGGCACTAAAGCTGAAAGTCAGAATACAAAGAAACATCTATAGAGATGGTAGAATTTTCTTTAATGGAACTTTTCAGGAGGTAAGATAGCACATATCTAGGATGATTTAGGTAAGTGCTTACTCCCCTCTGGGGAACAGAATGGGCTATAAAAACTCCTGAGGTCTCTTCCAGCTCTCCATGTCCTTAAATTTACTAAGAGAAACTAAAAAAGAAAAAGAAAAAAAAAAAAAAGGAAAAAAAAAAGAAAAAAAAAAGGAAAAGAGAAGGAAAAAAAAGAAAAAAAGGGAAAAAAAAAAGCAACGCCACCAAAAATTAGCATGGTACAAGCAACAGTTTGGAAAACAAGAAAGTAAGACTAAGGGATAGAAGATGATGACAACAAAATCTAACTGTGCATGGCTAAAAAAGGGCTTGTCTTTAGACATCTGAGGCACAAGCAATCCGCAAGACATACAAAGGTAAAAATGGGTTTAAATCTAAGATGACATGAAAGCTGATGACATGACACGATCTGAATGACCGTGTCTTCAGAAAGTACACAGATCTCAATCTCCCCTATAGCCACCCTCTTTACTCTCTTTCTCAGTGTTTGTCAGATTTCTTTTTCTGTTATTCAGGTTTATTTTTTGTTATCTCCTATACTTTACCTTTCTATTCTCTACTTTTATTTCTTTACATTGACAGGAAATGGGTGAAAAAAATAATCTCTTTTCCTCCCTGTTTCACCTATTATTTTTTTACTATTCTTACTGCCTGTCTATTTTTGGCAATGTTGGTGATGGATCCTGCCCCACTTCCTGCAAAAACAAACAGAAGGCATGAGCTCTACATGCAATCTCCTTCACTATCTGATGTAGGTATGTGAATCTGGAATATCTATTCTCTGGATGTCTTAAAAGAGGAGCCAATCAAGAAGAAGGAAATAAAGTTTTGTTTTATGCACAAAATCTTCATGGTGATTCTTAAAGATGAATAACTGCTCAACTGACCTACCATCAGTGCTACTTGAAAAGCTTGGTAGTGTGTATCAGTATCTGCACAGAATCACAACTACTGAAACAAAACAAACATTTTAATAAAATGGACACACTAACCATGATATTTGCATTTTCAGGGCCAACATAAGGTGCACTGATGTGCACAAATTGCAATTACATGTGGCAAGGCATACCACGATGTGATCTAAGAAGTCACAAAGTATAGCCCTGTTAGACAAGAAATGCAGGGCATATTAATGCAAGGAAGAAGAAAAACAAATCAAAAAGGAGGGACCCCACCATTTCCTTTGCAACCACATTTTTTAATTGATATCATCTATATCCTCAATGGATTCAGGTTATAACCAGGGCATTATTAAAAACTTACAGTTAATCTGATAAACAGTACAATGTAGCTTTTTGTATAAACAGAATCTCCTGGGTTTTAATGATTTATCAAATTCATCTTGTAGGGACTTCCTTTGGGTATAATGGATTCAGATTCTCATATTCGTAGTCCATCTGTATTTCCATATGAACCCCCTTATTTCCAGTAGATGCTTTCTAACTGTTAACCCCTCTCGTACCAGTTATAAAACATTACGTGCATAAACAAAAATAAATTTAAAATTTGGTTTTGAGGAAGAATTTTTTTTTACTACTGCATGACTAAATTACAAATAACACCCTTACTGGTATGTCACAAAGTAATTAGAAAGATTGACTGTATTTTATATAAAAACTGAAAGCTTGCAAACTTAATTTACGGTCTGTATTTATCCTATCATTATGTAATATACTTTTACATTTAGCTTAGTGTATAAGAATGCTGAAGAACAGCAGGCAACTTTGACTTAATGTTGGAATGCATAAATGACACAAGTACAAACATGTTTGTATTTGGTAAAAGATGCATTAAAACTTCAGGAAGATTTTGGCTTAACCAATTGTGATTACAAAAATAAATACCCACTATAAAATACCCCGGTTTTGTAACCATGAAAGACATTACCCCAAGGTCTGTATTACAGCAGCTTTCAAGTGACCTAAGCACCACAGTCTCACATCTCAGTGAAGTCAAAGCCTGCTGTGGGTTAGCCTTCATCTTACTGACCTTTCGATGCTCTTGGAGATTTGTTGCTGAGGAACATTTCTTATTGCACACTGAACACATCAGCTTCTTCCTAGAATTTCCTGAAACAGAAACAAAATACCACCAACATCTTAAAAAGGAAGTGCTAAGAAAGACCTTAAATATTTCCACTGAGTCTGTGACTTTTCACAGGTCATTTGACTGACATAAGATTTTTACATTTGTATCCCATCTTCAAAGTGTTCCATATCAGGAGTTCTCTGTGGGTGTCCAACAAACCAGTTACTGATGGAATGTAAATCAAGAAAGCTAAAACAATAAAGAAAAAAATCCTTCAAATAGATGTTATCACACATCGCGAATCCAATATGAAGAGCACGATTCACAAATAAGAACAACTCACTTTGCAACAGTTCATTTCTTCCAGAAGTCAATACAGGAGCTAGTGCAGCAATGACAAAAAAGATCTCAAACTGAAGTCAAAACCATCATTTTCCATTTTTCTTTATTCAGAAAGCATTAAGCATTCTACTGTATAAAATAATATATCATTAATGGTCGTTAACTGAACAAGTCCCTGCTCATGGCAGCAGAGTTGGAACTACATGATCTTTGAGGTCCCTTCCAACCCAAACCATTCTGTGATTCTAAGACAGGAAAATTGTATTAGCACCAGATCATGAATTCAAATTTTGTCTAAAATGTAAATTACAAAACAAGCTACAGGACAGCCACCAGATGTATCTTCCTTCCCTGTTCACAGCTGCTTTAAAAAGTTATGCTTAAAAAGCGAGCACTTCGGTTTATCTATTATTTATCTTTCAAAATACATTTTAGTAACCCACAAAGCTATTTTATTACAAGCCAAAGCCACTACAAACCTAATTCTTTATAATTACATGCCCATGCAAGATATTTCCTAGCTTATGTAGAAAATGTTCATATTACATTGAACACTAAAAAGAACAGACACAGAATGAGAGTACTCCTTAGTCAAATATAGAGGAAGTGTGGATCATAAATGAACTCATCAGCTAAATTTTTCAGACTCTCAGCATTCTGTATCTTTCCTGCTCTTGCTGTCCTAAAGAAGCCATATTATGTCGATTCTTCTTACTACAATGTACTTTGTCAATCAATTGGTTCGATACTTAAATCTGTAAGTATTTAATACTTTAATTTATAAGTATCTGTATTGCATCTCACATATGCATTTGCTTTATAAAATTTATGGTAAGTACTTACATGTACTGGTATACACATGAACACAGGAATAACACTTAGTACTTCAACTTACAAGAACACTAACAAGACCTTTTCAGAGGAGAGAAAGGTGATGGCGAATATCTGTTCATGGCTTTGCATGACGGGCAACACACATAACAACTCTTTCTACTTTCCCTTGCCTCCAGTTAACACAAGGCAGGCAGGAATTCTAGAAAGTGTTCCTCAACGGTAGTAGGTTATTTTCCTTCCTGCACTGACATTGGCTGTGATTTCTATGACTCCCAAGTGGTAAAATATAAGCTCTGCTCATTGTGCAGGCAGAGTAAAAATATCCTCCAGGCATCTCTTCTCAGTCATGTCTGGAGTGATCATTCAAGAGAATTGTGGAATTTGCATACCACTATATAATCGACCAAAGCTAAGCCTAAATATAACAATGCTGGATGAAAAAAATTCTTACTGATACTAAAAAATGAATTATTGTAAGAATGATTATGGAAGGGTTTCTGTACACTGTAAGAGTTTAGCAGAAGAAAGAGATTTCATGTTATGAAAATCTTACAAAGCATCTCAGTGCTGTCATCATCAACTAAAGGCTGTTTTCTTTGCACTCTGGTATTGTGCTGTCCCCACACACACTGATCTTCCATTGACACGGAGAAAGGACATGCAGAGAGAGCAGAATGCCAGAACTGAGATCAGCATTGTGGACCTGAGAGCAGTATTTTGCCCTTTCATGAAAACAGAGTGAAGTCTGATTGAAAACTATTGATTCACAGCACACAGATACAAAAATGCTAGGGCCTAACGGGACTAGTGGATTGTCTGGTCTGGCCTGCTGCACAACAGAGGCTATAGAATTTTATGCAATACCCTCATCAAGTCTAATCGTTTGTGAAGCATGTCTTTCAGAAAGACATCCCATTGTGTCCTGAAAATAACAAAAGATCAAGAACCCACCACTTCCTGTAGCAGTTTGTGCCAGTGGTTGATTTTCCTCACTAATGAAATTTTTTGCTTTATCTATTACTTGCCTTGTTTAAATTTCCCGAGATGCCTACTACATTTCCTGCAGTAGACTAATGATTCATCTGGTATACAGCAATCTCTCCTTGGGGAAGGAGGAATAGTTACTCTTGCAATTAGTTTGTATCTTTTTGATACAAATGAGTCCATTAAAAAAAGAAACCAAAGACAATGTTTACTCTGATTTGCAAATACAAGGCTAGGAACATCTTAGAGGTTTTTTTTTTCCTGAAGAAACATTAAACTCTTTCTTACCACTGTGAACATTTTCTTTATGTTTTTTCAGGGCATCCTTACTCTTGAACCTCTTCCCGCAGCTATCTGCCTTGCATATGAATCTGGCATCCCCTCTGCATGCCTCCTTGTGCTGTTCATAACTATATGGGATAACAAGTAAAAAAAAAAAAAAACAAACCAACAAAAAAGCAACACATAAAGCAGTATCTACAGAAACCAGACACATAGCAAGTATTCTGAGCTTAACACATGCTGCACTGCAGAGTTCCAAGGCCACCTCATGCATTACTTACAGCAAATAGGAATAAGCATTTGACTTCTTTCACTGTTAGGATTCACATAAACTAACAAGCCGGAAAGCTAACATGCAAAGGGAGGCCAGCAATGATATGACAGCAGTCCAGTAACTCAGACACAAAACCTCGATTCTGAGCTGAAGGAAGTATTGCAAACAGAGCACTGAAAACTTCTTGAAGAGTCTCCTGGGCTGACATTCTCTGTGCACTGAAGTACACTAAAGAAAAATAATAAAAAAAAAAGGTAAGGGGAACATTCTACAACTTACACAGGCTTGCAGTAACTAAAAACATACATATAGCTCTACAAACCTTTAAGCAGGTGAGTAATCTATTTAATATGTGATGTTTCCTGGAATTTAGTGGGACTAACCAAATGCATAAACAGTAAGAGTCAGGATCGTGCTGCTGTATCCTCACACAGATTTATCTTACTTTGCACAATGTAAAAGTTTCCTTCTTAACTAGCTATACAGCACAGATCCAACTTCCGCTACAGACTAGAAGGAGTAAGTCTAAATTCAAGAAAAAATATTTAATTGCTTCCAAATATTTCTCTGCTATGTAATTTTATTTATTTCAATGAAAGAACACAGAGCTTAAGTAGAGCTGCCAGTTCTAGGAATGTTCACATTACTCAGACCTAAAAAAGAGCAGCTTTTAAGTGCATTCTATGCAATATGTTTCTTTCCAATATGAGTTCAATTAAATGTACTATCTAAAATCACTTAAGCATCTAATGTACTATCTGTAATTAAATGTATAATAAAATGTAATGTATCTATTTAATTGCAAGCACAAAAATTATAAACAATAAAAGACAAAACCAGTTATGCTTTTGTACAGAAGTATAATTGTAAGGCATACGACTAGTGATAAAACTGAATATTTACACTATCAAGGACAGTAAAGATGTGCTCTTAAATCTCACATCTTTCAAGTTTATATTTGGGGTTTTTATCACCCAAATATTTAACTAAGCAAACATGAAGCATTGGTTTTCCTTTTTTTTTTTTTTGTCCTTCTAGATCGCCTTTTACTTTTTTCTAAATCTCACTTTAGTTCTGTGATGACATTCACAGCTTAGAAATTACATCTCCTAAACTACTAAATAGTCCCCTGATGGAGACCAGCAGTTTTGCGCCGAAGAGCAGCTCTGATCTGATCTACAGTGTATGAATTTTAAAACAAAAAAATTAGCGACATTTTTGCAATTCAAATTGAAGTCTCCAACAAACACAATAAATTAACATGTTACAAGACTAATGTAAAGGCTAAGGGTACGAAGACATGAGCATAAAACCATTCTATGATTCTATGACAAAAATTAAAGTGTAAATTGTGATTAAGCCAAGAGAAGCCACTGATTGAATGAAATTGATTTAACAATCCCTGAAAAAACACTCCTGTTTCTACTCACTGTCTTTGTAGAGCTTGTTTAACAGGGAATTTCTTTCCACAGTTTCGGCACTTAAATTCCTTTTCCTCACTGGGTTTTTGGTGCAAAGTCTGAAGATGTTCGGCTAGAATCTCCTGGCTGGCAAAACTGGATTCACAGTTTGGGCATGCATGGTCCTCTTTACAGGTGAGGGGATTGGCATGATTGGAGGAAAAACAGCAAAGGAATAATTTTCAGAAAATATTTTTGGTTACATGAAGAGAGACTCTGCCAGAAACAGATCATGCAAAATGGCATCACAAAATTCACAAAAGACACTGTCCCTGAATGGATTATAGACAGCCCATCTTGAGTGGATTACCATCAGCAATACTGAAAACAGCTGCAAAGTATTAAATTGGGTGTGACTCAGGCCGTTAGCCTCAATCAGTCACCCAGGCTGCCTCTGCTTTGATAAAAGATGCTGAGAATTCACCAGGCAGCTCAGGTCACCTACCTTTTCTTAGACATCTTACATTAGGATTGGCTGAACAGTTTTATGAAAAGGTTTACTTCTCTCCCATCTAAGTAAGACGGAAACTACCTCTCTTACAGCAAAATCTTAGCTTTCATGAGACTACATGTCAGGTGAAATGAATTCCTGCTTTAGTTCAAAAATTAATGGTAACTTCTCATGAAATCTAGGCTCACTCATTCACTCAGTAATCCACAGGACTGGCTGCTTCTTATTAGGCAAAGAAAAGAACCTCAACTCAAACTAAAATAAAAAGATAAAAATCATACAAGAGCTCGGATTAAACCTGGGGAGCCCTCCAGTTCCACAGTCCTATACAGTTAGTGTTCTCTTTCTTCTTTGTTACTACTTTTAAGCTGTCAAGTTATCTTATTTTTTACCTATTGCTCACCTGCAATTTTTTCACCAGCTGGCTGCACTTCTTTATTGTTGCCACTGTCTTCATCTTCCTGGATAACAGTTATTTCTTCTTCTTCCTCCTCCTCTTCTTCCATGTCACTGTCCAAGTATCCAATCAGAAGTTCCGTGTCTGTTTCAATATCTTCCACAGCCAGATAGAAAATATTTTCCCCTTCCTGTTGCAAACAGTAAGTAGAAGCAATGAATAATTAAGTCAGAAAAAGTAAAATCTAGAGACAAGTTTGGGACCCTGAACTCATATTGGCTCTCAACTATGGAAAGGCTGGCTCCATTCCTCAGGGAACACAATGCCAGAACAGCCTTTCTAATAATTCTTTTTCCCAGTGTGGCTACATGGATAAAGTGTCATTGTATTCTGGTGTTCTGGACACATCCCCCTGCCAAACCAGTGAGGCTTTTTCAATGTGCACTGTAGCCTAGACTAAGGTGAAGGTGGTGTTGAAGTTCTTTTCTGCCACAATCTGCCCGACAAGAACTTCAGAGTTTGAAAATGAAACATTTGGGTATTAGAAAAACAACATTTAAATAACCAACACATCTTTAGTTCTGTCCCCTGTTGGCTGCACAAATGATATAACCCAGCTTCCAGTAGCATGTTTACAGAGTGTTATTTTCTCTCTCTCTCCCCTTAAGATTCACCCTTCTTCATGGACAGGCTTTCAACCCTGGTCAGTTACCTTCACTATCAAGTTAGCAGGCACATCTGTAAAATATACTTTAAACCACTACATCAAAACCCTCTGCTGGTTTAAATCGGTGTAGATACACAGATCCACAGAAGGCCAAAGATCCAGCCCAGATTCTGCACACGACGACAAACTACATAGTGGTAGCACTTGTACTCCAAAACCTTCTCCACAATTAATAAACAAGCTTCCAAATAGATACATAAGCTAATGACTTTGGTCTTTGACAATATGTAATTAAAGTTACCAAGGTTGGCATGGAGAGGGGTCAAGAGGGGCAGATCTATAGCAAAAAACAGCTTGTCTACTAAACTGATATACAGAGTTGGTGGGGGTTTTTTCCTATATGTGAACGAACTGCTTTAGGTACTACTCAACAAGACAAAAGAGTCTTATTTTTACACAATGAAGATTTCCAAGTTTTATCATAAATCTTAAACTTATCTGATTAATATCCAAAAAAGTTAATTGAAGCTTCCTTATGCTACATCTAGCCATATATATTTTGTAACAAGCTTCCTAGCACAAGGACAAGATAATGACTTTTAATTTTTGTAATATACTAAGATTGATTTAAACTGTCAACAGGGATGTAGTATTCCTCAAGCTTTAGAAGGCCTGTTATATATCACATAAGACATTGTCACACAAGAGTGAAACCTATTTAATTCAACAGACTCGATCCAGCTGCCGCTTTCAAGGATGCACCACTTTTCTGTCCTTATCTCTACAGCAGCATTCGAAAACAAAACTAATTATGCATTTCTTTTTTCGAGATATATTCTGCAGTTCAGATACCTATTAGCATGCCACCCTAACTTTTGCATGCATCTAGAAGTGACTGTTTTTCATATGCCTCTGTCAAGTTGCAAATATCTTTCATCTACCACAGTCTAAACTCAAAACAAATCATGTACTGAAACTCTTGACATGAGGAAAAGTAAAAGGTCTTTCCACACTCAGTCTCCACTTAGACAGGATAAAACCACTGGGGTAAACCTCCAATACATCACTCTCAGGACAACCTTATTCTAAAAGCAAGAAAACATTATAAACGGAAGCACATACCTATTACTGGCTTGCCAAGGAAAAAAAAAAAAAGCCATGTATCCCAGGCAAAAATAAAGTCCCACATTTTACTCATTAATGAAGCAGATAGCACACCTTTCAATTAGTTCATATGTGACACATTCTTACACCACACAGTACATCTGGGAGAACAGCAACCAGAAGTAATTATTCAGGTTAACATAGACTGAGTGCATGAATCCCAACAACCAAGCTCTTATCTACTGCTGCATCCTCACCCTCTGCACTTCCCGTAAGTGCATCTGGGGCTTATTTTATAGCTCTGTGTCTGAAAACACCCTGGTTCTTCCCCATTTGTGCACTCGTGGTTAGAAAAAGATTAATGGAAGAAGTTCTAAGGACTCTTAATGCTTGAGTGCTCTTGGTTGCATTTGCATTGAAAAGAAATTAGCTTTGGTGTCAGCCCAACTAAAACACAGCTCAAACTCATTTCTCCTCCAAGGCTAATTTGTTTGGCTACTCCAGCCAAAGAAATGCTAATAGTCAGCTATTCAGAGAGCTAATTAATCCAGATATACCCACACTGTAGTAGCTCCTCACGGCAGCACTTTCAGTGAAACCAATGGAAGTTCTCCAGAAACCACAAGGGAATTTAAGTCTCTCCCTCTACCAGCAGCACCTGCAGGAAGTAAGTGTATCTACATGCATGCAGACAGGCATATATTGAACGCAGTAAGAAATCTTTCAAATAATTTCATTAACCTCCAATTTCTAAGAATACATCTGCAGTTGATCCACCTGTCCATCTGCTTAGGCCATGCTCACTGTTTTGCTAACTCCTCTTAAAGTGCTACCTGGCTTCCTCCTACACCCAATTTCCTGGCAGCAAGCCAGCTCCTTAGCATACCTGTTCTGCCAGTTCTCCTTTGCTACCTCTTCAAACAAGCACACTCCCTTTCCTGATCTTTGCCTGCAGCTCCAAGGTGTCATTTTTGCCAGAGTAAACCCAATCTTGGCAATGTCTCTGAGGGCAGAAAGCCCAATCCACGAAATGAATGGATGTCATTTCTTGGGGGCTGTGGCAGGAGAAGGCAAAGCCACAAGCTCAGGCACAGGAAAGGTCAAAACTAGCATTTGGTGCCAGGAAAGACATGATCAGAATAACAATGTCTTCTGAAAAGGCAGAGCAGATCAGGTGCCCCTGGGAAGGAGGGGGTAAAGCAAGACAGTCTTCCAGAGGTGCTGCTGGGGACCAAAAGACCCTTGCCCCTCTCAAGCAAAGAAGACAAAATGGATGCACAAAGAGACTGCAGGAAGCTTTTCTTGTTTGCACACTGGACATCGGAAAATGCTTGACTGTTTAAGGCACATATCCCTGTCCCACTTAGTCCACTCCGCAATGCGCAGCATGTTTGTCGCTCTCATCAGCCAGGAAGCTGAGGGATCTCAGAGACACTCCCACAAAAACCAAAACAGAACACCTTTAACACACATGTAATGGAGATGTTCAGCCCAGGAACTCAGACTATATCTGATTTGAAGTACAGCACCTGAACCATGCACAAAGGAGACACAGAAGCCTCACCTCCATCTGCTGATCTTTTCCTATCTGCTGTACTGCATGGTAAGGTAACAACCTTTGTGTTACGGCACACAACCTTGGAGACACGAATGTGAGATTAAACAGAGCACAAGGTTAAACTAGTGCAGCAACTTCTATGTTTCTCCTGTGTTCTCATGCCACGCTGCAGTTTGTAGTGATGGCTCCCAGCGAAGGTTAGAATATTTTTCCAGCTGAATATTCTACACTATGATAGACTTTTCTCTGCAGTAACCATACTACATACCCAAATCTTGCAGTTAAACTCCTCAGGAATTTGAATGATGTATATAATAGCAATAAAAATGAGAGGTGCATGGGGTTACTCCTCCCCAGGTGCAGGACTTTGCATTTCCCTTTGATGAGCTGCACGAGGTTCCTGTCAGACCACTTCTGCCCATTTCTTGTTGAGATCTCTCTGGATGCAGCACAGCCCTCTGATTTATCAGCCACTCCTCCCAGTTTTGGGTCACCAGCAAGCCTGCTGAGGATACACTGTGCCCCATCATCCAGAATATTTCTCTTTTGATATATGCTCACTTCAACTATTCTGTTGCACAAATCTAGTTAGAGAATACCACTTTCAGCATGCATCTGTTGGAAAGGATGTTAACCACTCTAGCAGTATTACCAATTCTCATGTTATTGCTTATTTCCAAAGCATCACAGGAGTGACCTTGCATTTTTGGTGGGTTTTGAGAAAGCTCAATTTTTAATTTCCTTCCCTTTTTCAACTCAAAAAGAGGAGGAATCCAAAGCCATAAGCATTAACTTCCACTTCAGATCTAAATCCCAATTCTCCCCAAAGTTTACAGATGTTCAGATTTAGTGTTCCACTCCAAATCTATCTTTAACTAAAGTAGCATTTCACTGTTTTAAGAAATGCTGGCTTAGTAAAACTTAAAAACATTAAAACACATACAGAAGTTCACATATGGAACTTTCACTGCCACAAGTAACCACTGAACTCAGCAACTGAATAAGCTTTCAACAGCAACGAACCATCCTGTATGGCACCACACACTGTCAGAGATGTCAAGCACTCTCTGCTAACTTGCAAAGTCCACACATACGATGTTGCTCAACACCTCCAGGAGCTCTTCAGTACGTTTTTGACTGAGCAACTTAGATTTAAAGCCTTTCAAATGCAATGAAAACACTTCCACTGATATCAAATGTAATGAGACCACTCTCCACAGTGAACAGGAATATTTGCAGCTACAAATGGAAGTAGCAGGGCTAGAGTAATTGGCAAGCATGAGGAGGATCTAATCACCAGGATGCTTTGGATGACCAACAACTCAGCCTCTTAAAGGCCCTGGCTTCTTTGGAAAAAAGCAGACTCTTTTGACCTGGCAGATAACAGAAGTTCACACATATTCCTGCACGTATTTGAACATCTTTATCTGCCTTATTGCTGTCTTTCTTACAATTGCCTACATTCCCAGAAATGCCTGCAGTTCAATGCTCTGAAGTAAAAAGAATTTGATTCCTGCAGGGATTTCTTTCCTTCGTCCCACCCAGCTACGCATCTAAACTAATACAAGTAGATTACAACATCTACATTTACTTTAAAAGTCACTATTTATCATATAATGCTAAAGAACTTATTTTTTTTCCTTCACAGATATTTAAGGAAAAATTGTAGTGCTAATAACAAATGCTATATTCAAAATTCCTACCTCGTAACATGGTATTTCAGCAAGAAAAAGTAATTAGTGATAGCAAAACTTGAGAGGTCCTTAGAAATCCATATAGAGATAAGAATGATAGATCTTTTTGAATCTTAATATCACCACTCTGTACACCAGCTAAGTATTAAGACAGCCTAAAATCAGAA